TAGAATTAGACTTCGCATACAGTCAAAAGCCTGAAATAGTAGATGAAACATCAATTCAATTTTTAGAGCTAAGACCAATAAGAAAACCTTCAAAATCATCTACTGGGGTAGAAAATACAATTTTACATTTATATAGTTATACAGCTAAAATAGTGTTTTACTTTTTATATGTTACTCTTTCTCAATGTATATGTTCACAAGTTACTGAATTGGTGAGATGACAACAGGTATAGTATGTTCAAACAGTGTCTCTTCTCATTCTTCTTTTTTTTCATTTATCCTGCTAGCTGAATAGTATATGGAAAGGATAAAGGAAAGATCAGTATCGTAATCATTTCACTTTCACTTGATTTAACTGCTCATGTTAACAGTACTATACATATGTGAAGACCAGAAGATTCCACTTGAAAATGAACATTCAGTTCATGGCATAATACAGGATATATAGAAGAATATATAGATTTTGACCTCTACTCCTTTCTCATTCTTTAGTGGCTCTGTGATCCTTCTGTCAGAGATGTGTGTAGAAGGAGGACTTCCTTACAGGATGCATAGAAAGTATATTTTACAATCTAGGCCCTTTTCCTTACTGTATTGTATAGAAATGCCTTGTGTATTTAAAAACAGAAAATTATTCATCTTCTCAGCAGGGCTGGGTAGTTGCTAAGAGAACCTGGGTTCCAAATCCAAAGACCTTGCTGAGGGTAATCAAGCTGTGAATGTGAGTGTCTGTGCTTATATAGGAATTAGGCGTAACCTTCTGTTCTTTTGCGATTCCTGTTAGGACAGACCAGGATTTAAAAATCAATATGGTGTTTTATTGAGGCACTTTAACATAAAATTGGTATAACTTTTTATTTTACATTTAACATTTGTTCACATGGGGTTAGCATATACAATTATACTATTGTCCACGTGCATTTTTCTTACAGTTTATGAAAATTTTCTTCTTGCTGTTGAGGCTATTCTTTCTAAGGTTTTATTTTCCTGAAACCCAGTCCACCAACTCATCACTCTGTTCTTTGATTTGTACTTTAATGTGTAGATAAACACACCATAGCCTTCATTTCACCTGCATTTATGAAATTCTGCTAATTTTACTATCAGAAGAGGATCATAGAAAAACTTGGTGCTTCCAGGTAATGGCTAAGCTGTCAGAAGCCTTAAGTAGATAGGTAAATAAAGTTGAAGAGATTTGTGTGATGTGAGGATTGAAATTATAAATAAATAAATAAAATGAAGAGCACATGTCAGTAAAATGATAATAATACTCACTAGCTTTGTTTGAAATGTACAGTGTGTCAATTCAACTACATCAGTTTAGGATTCATACAAAATTTACCTAACTAAAAATGTTACTTTATTGGCTTTGTACAATTAAGTGTCATTTAAGCATTCTTAAGCTGACATGTTAACATGTTGGTTGCTTTTGATGCATTTTGTTTATACTTCTGTACTGCTTAAACTAATCATGCCCTTAGGCTAGTCTTGATGGTTATTGAAATATAATATTGAACTGCCTGTTTCTGTGTAATGCTAATTAATGTGAATATATTAATAGGACCCTAATTTCCATCTTTCCTGGTCCAGGACAACATGGAGTCATGTCGTGAAAGATGCAATTCAGTGAAATGCTCAAACTTAGCCTTAGCCGTATACAATATGCTGGGAATGCTAGCTAGAAGTACACAGATGCTTAAATGCTCTACTGAATGTAGTAACACTTAACTTTAAAGAAATATGAAGTGTTTTGCTGACTGAAACCCTCACAGATAAATCTTCCTCCCACTCTGATTCAAGCATGCTCTGCTGTTGCATACACCACATGTACTGTGAGAGCCCTTAGACTAAAAGCTATGTGAGCTACGTGGAGATTAAACCAAGGTCATATATATAATAGAGGGGCTCTACTCTAGAAAACTCAGTGCCTTTATTTTTGTGTAGACTATCTAGTAATTTATTTTCAAAAAACAAAAACAAACAACCAACCAAACAAACAAAAAAAACAAACAGCAAAACAGTAAAGCCAAGTGCTTCCATTTATAAGTATCAGTGATCACCAAGGACATTTCTTCCTCTCAGTATTTCTGTGATACCAATTATCCAAATGATCTAATTAGTCTCTCCTGTAGCCTGTATTGTTGTTTGGATACCACAAAAATGTGGTGTTAGGGCAGTTGAGCACCTGTTAATGTGACCCACTGTCAGGTTAATGATTACTGCCAGTGAGAAATCCCTTCTAATATGTCAGATTGTTCAGAATCGGCTTTGCCAAGAGATGAGCTTTAAGGATAAAATGAAAATTAGAATAATTAAAAGACAATACACCTTGCAGCAGATTAATTAAGTTATATTACTTAAAACTATGAGTAATCTTTGAGTTTTACCTATTCCTTAGTTGTGTTCTACCTTTTCCTATTCCATCCCACCCCAAGCTAGACTGTACCACTCTTCTCTGTTCCTTGGAAAATAAACTTCCTTCCTCATTTCCTGTGACCGAGTCTGATGGTGTTGTCAGGAAGCTGTAAATGGTCCTGCCTTCCTTCCTTCGTTTCTGTCCTGTTCTGCCCTTATTTATTTCATAATAATTTCAACTGTATACTCTAATTATCTAACATTTTCTCCAAGTTGCTTATGTTTTTTTCTAGTCTTCTGAAGACACATTCGTTCAACTAAAACAAAAATTGTGAGAAATATTAAATGCACCATCTTCCTACCAGGCTTACAGCTAATATAAAGTCTAAACATTTACATTACCTATGGCAGTCATAATCAGAAGAATTATGTTATTCACACACATCTTTCTTTTTGTTGGCATTCAAAATTTTACAGGTTTTATCTTGTGAAGTTGACCAAGCACTATGGAAGAAGAATGTCTAAGGTGCAGGTTGTGTGCATGAAAACAGACTAATTAAGCTAAACTCTAAAACATATATTTAAAATATAAACTATGGAAACAAGGTATCATGAATCCCATTAATTCCAATGGGGACTGTAGCTTGATCACAGTCAGGATTATTTTATATATTATTCTACAAACTATAAATCCATTCCCAAAACATAATAGTTTGCATAAGGAGATCTGGGTCCAGAGAAAATTGATAGGTTATCACCCACATAAACACTGTGAAAAGAATGACTGTCCTGTTCATAGTGGTTCCACTAGATTTTTGCATAGTCACCTTTTTTAAAATAAATAAATAAATAAATTGTTGAACCTTATGAGCATCAGCTGGTACAGTGAACATGGTACAGCACATCTTCAGCTTTGACCTAAGTGGGCCATTTATCTGCTTTTCTTATACAGAGTTAAATGATATTCTGAATGACTTTCTGAATTCAGAGCCTGCAGTAATTCCATTTGTGAAATTACCTTTTAACTTCACTAGGATGAAGATCAGATAGCCTGTCAAAGCTATCCTTCATTTTAAAAAAGATTAATTAATGTTTTCAGTCTTTCTTTCCCTTATTTCAGAACTCAGCTTATAAGACAAGGCTGGCGGTTGAGGACAGGTGCTATAATTTTTTTTTTTTTTGCTGCTGTTTAGTGTGATCTAATAAAAATATATTTCCATGAAAATAGAGCTTTACCTTTTTGTTCCCTTTCCCTGTAGATACTGCATTTTTATACTGTTGTGGCTGTTTTCTTTCTGTCTTGATTTTTTTTTTCTTATATGTGAAATGTTTTGAATTAGATATAGAACAGTCTGTATCATACCAGAGGAACTGAAAATTAAAATGCTCTTTCATGCTGAGGTTGAGCTGAATTTCTGTTCTCTCTCTTTATCTCAGTCCTGGAGAACTCAGCTTTTTCCAGTCATATACCATTCTGTAAAGTAGAGTTAACAAATAATAATTCTGTCTGTTTGAGGGAGTATGTAGTCAGCTGTCACCATATTAACAAGTTTACAGTTTGGCTGCTTATTTTGATTGGATCCCAGTTTTGTAGCATTAGAGAGCAGATGTTCCTGGAGTAATCTGATACTAATTTTTACTCCATTTTCTAATTTGTAGTCAAGGATAGATGATTTGATGAGACCAAGGCCTCTGTCAAGCCTCCACCCTACTCTACCTCAAGCTGATCCCTTGACCTGAAAGAAAGAACAAACAGTTCTGCAGTAAAATTGTTTCATTGTGTACTGTACCTTAGTTGTGTTTAGATGAATAACAAGCACCAATAAGATCATTTTGGATAGTCTTCTTATCCTTGCTAAACTTCATCTCTAGATGGAATTTAATAGAAAGCTTGAGAAAATATTTGATACTTCTTTTTAAGGGAAAATTAGAATAGAGGTTTGTTGGCAGTAACAAATTATGGTATGCTGAAAATGTTTGTAGCAAGAACTGAGGTGCAGAGCCTAATAAATGAGGAAGTGGATCTCTGAAGGAAAAGGTACTGGTACCAAACTTAGTTGCACCACATGGTAATTTAAGAATTTTGTAATGACAGAAGTGAATAAGAAGTGAATTAGAGACTGATTTATCCCTGATATGCAAGTAAATTAAAAGGTGTTGCTTTTAATTTTATTTATTTATTTAATTTCTAAATTGTCCTGAATTTTGGTAGTTATCTAAAAAAAGTTCTGTGGATAAGCCTTTTTTATTCTATAAACCTATGATCATTTTGTGCAGTATATTGCTTAAGCATGAAAGCAGGCAGATGGACCAGACAACATTGTATTTCTGAGGCTACAAAGAAGGAAGTCAAGTGACTTGTTTATAATTATCTATCACCTTTTGTGATTGTTCATTTTTAAAAGTTATTCCATAGATATTTTCATTTGTGTTTCTAATAGTACTTGTAAAGAACTTATGAATAAATAAATTGTGAATATGTTAGCTTCACTACGATCTTTTGTGATAGATTATGATAACTGAGATGTTAGATGCTGTACTAAATACTCAATGAAAAATAAGATAAAGTATTATAGGCAGTTTTGTAATGTCTGTGATTTGAGACTGTGTATAACTGTGTCCTTACTTTCCCTCTGTTTTTCCAGGGCACAATGACTACATGTGTCCTGCTACTAACCAGTGCACTATTGACAAGAACAGAAGAAAGAGCTGCCAAGCCTGCCGACTAAGAAAATGCTATGAAGTGGGAATGATGAAAGGTGGTATGTACACAGCAACCAACAAATCCTCAGCATTGGTGTCTGCCTTCCTGTTTTTTAATTCGTTGAACAGATGATATGGTTCCTAAAGCAGGGAGCAACTATTTTATTTGATCTGAAGCTTATTAAATCAAAGAGCAATTAAATAAAAGTAAAAACATCCCAAATCCTATGCTATTATTCTCAGCCAAATTTTGCATCAAAACTTATAGGAACATGGACTTTGGTGGACCTGTGATTCTTCTCTTAGTATTTTTGATGCATGATTATTTTTGCTTTTTCTCTTGTGGTAGACACCAGATTGTGATGAATGAAATTTAACCCAAGATTTTATGGCATTTTGCTGTTCAGTGTGAAAAGCACTAATAATCTCAGATCAGTCCATATATGTTAAAACAAACTTGTGAATTATTTGATACTTATTCATTTAGTTCTGGAAGGGAAAGTAAAATAATTTATTCCAGTACTGTACATATATTGTAGATGTAAATTAATTTCAACAAAACCAAAATGTTCATTTATTTTGTACAAACTGAGATAGGTGCTGCTTTCTTGAAAGATACTTACTTACTAATGATATCAGAGAAGAAGAATTAGACACTGAATGCTCAGGCTGAAGTGGCACACCAGTGAATTACTTCATAAAGTTACATAGTGTTAAACTTTTGGAGTTAAAATTAGAAATATTTGACAATACTGAATAATTGACACAGTGTGTTCTTAGATGGAAGAGTTCTTTTCGTAACATAGTTTTGGATTGATCATAATACCTGGCTTTCTCCTCTGTTTTACAGCACTACATATTTGTCAAAAGCAGACAGAAGGTACCAACTCTTACTGCTTTTGAAAAAGTCAAGCCCCTTACATCAACATATACATGTAAGAATAGGAAGTCATAGGGTTTCATAAGATAAATATTTTCTCTAAAGCAGAAGAAAACCTTGTAATAAAAATTCCAGATTGTTTTTATTAATGAATAGTATTCATTAGCTTTATCCAAATTTATTTTTACATGAAAATTTAGCAAAATACTAAAGGATTAGAACCCATGTCTTATGTTAGGAAGGGGATAATTGTTAAATTATAGATTGGTTCTCCCTTTTGTGGCACACCTGTTTACTTATTCCAAGAAAAATCAACTGTGTTGGGGGTAAGAGTGAAGTCTACTTCACTATGTTTATCCTTCACACAACAAATGGTTGTTTTTAAGTCCACTCTGTCCAGTCAGAGTAAGCCAGGTTTGGGAATCCTGGGAGAAAGAGCAGAAGGAAAAGATTAAAGGTGTCGTTGTGCTTTGATGTTAAATATGCATTTTTTTTTTCTCAATTCAAGAGCTGAGACTGATTTTGTTACTCTCAGTTTAGTGATGCAAACAGCTGGAAGGCATCAAAGCTCTTTTAAGACTGTAGACATTTATTTTTCATAAAATTGAGTTTGCAGATCCAGAGTTTTTTTGCTTCATACTGGTGGATATTCTTAAAAGTCAAATCTATATATTGCCTGCTCCTACTTCAATATTGCATTGAGGTTCGTTACTGGTTCATAGATGAGAGTCTAAGAATATGCGTTTTATGAAGGCTGTGAAAAATTTCTTGAACTCCATCAGTTGCAAGTAATAAATCTGGCATGCCTGCAGATGAAATATTCAAGTAAGGTAAAGTTATGCAAGATGAAGCAAAGCAAGGTTCTGCAGGATTCATTACAGTAACCCTGTATTGTCCAACTAGCTACGGGAGAGAGAAATTATTTTCTCCAGATATTGCTTGATAATTGTCATATTGTCTCTCAGATGTAGATAAAGGTTAAGTGCATGTTCTTGGTATTCCATCCAGTTAGCTTTGATTTTCTTTTTCCATTTTTTTGTTTGTTTGTTTGTTTTGTTTTCCTTGCGGAGATGTCTTAAGCTTTTCTGTTGTAATAGTTATCTTACAATGTTTCTCTTCATCACTTTTGAATCACACAGCGCTGTGGTTAACTCAAGTTCCATATTTTCCTTTAATAATTCATAATTGTCTTGTAATATTTTTTAAATTGAAATAATCTTGTTTTGTTCATATGGAAGAATTTGTCTTGTTGAAAGGACTAGTTCTATCATGCATTTGAAAAGAAAAACTCTTTTCTGTCAGATTTCACTTTTATATTTACCTCCATAATTGTTACCTGCTTAGGATGATAAACATTTTAGAAGGTATACCTTTTGAATAATTCTGAATATAGTCTGTTTTCTTTCTTCACTGAATTAATCTTTTTTTTTGAATATATTGCCAATGTTGCTAGGTTGTGACTTCATCTGTCATTTAACTTCTGAACAATAGCTGATATTGTTGAGTTACAGTACCAACAGGAGAAGCTAGATAAGTTCCTGATTAATTGTTCCTGGTTAATTTGAAACATAAATTATAAGCTCTGGTTTCTCAGGTTTAAATCCTGGAAAGTCATCTAACTGAATGCAATATTAAAAAATTCATGTAGCATTATTTTTAATAGAGTGGACACAGTTGAAATGTGTTTTTAAGGCTTCATTTAGAAGAATGCAGGCTTCAAGTGGGTCTTGAGCTCTACTGTAGGAACATTTACTTATGAGGTTGTGTGGAAATTTAATAATTCTTTTCACCCAGCTTTTCTTTGGTCTTTCAAAAACTTCTTCCAATACTGAAGAGCTATTTTATTTCTCTCCTCTTGTGTTTGCAAGTGTTTCCTTCTGCATCCATTATTTCATTGCTTTGAGAGACTGATAGATTCTCTGGTGACATAGCATATGAAGCAAAGTTCATAGTGAGACAGAGTTTATAGCTGTTATATTTTGTCCAAATACACTCCTTTTTTCTGAATAAGCCAAAAAGACCATAAAATCATTTGTTAGTATTTAGACTGTGCAGCCTTGTGTTTGTATATGAGGATATAGCAGTCACATGGAATAAGCTTTTTGTCATGTGCCTTTTTGTTTTGGTTGGGTAACAGAGAAAAATAGCTTTGCTTTTGTATATGATCCTCTGATACATTTATGAAGATTGATTTTGTTCTGCTTTTGGTGATTGTATGGTAACTTAATATTTCAAAATGTGTGGGGTCCTGCAACACACCCCCAGACTCCAAAAGGAGTATTTACAGTAGCAGTACATTAGCAGTTGCAGTCCTCCAACTGCAACTACAGCAGTTTTCACAGCAGTTGCAGAAACTCCAACTGTATGTATAATTCAGGTAATCTCTGCTCCAATATAAACTTAGTTCTCCATTACTTTATTGTTTTAATGACTTTTTAATGGCTTAGCTCCAAAGGGTCTTATTCACCTGACTTTAATTATTACCTGTCAATTAAATATGTTATAGTTTGATAAATAGATGTGAATTTCTAGTTATTAAAATGCTACATTCTTCCTCTTCTTTCATGTGTGATGATGCAGGTGCCCTATGGGATCAGAACAACAGGGTGCTGATGTGGCTATGAAAATATTCACTGTAATGCTAAATGCTAGATCCTTTTTGAAGAATCAATTATTATACCTGGTAAGGTATTTTTAATGACTCTGAGAAGTACATGATTCTATCAGCTGGTATATGCTGATGGCTTCCCAACTTCAAGACATATTACATATGGTGATCAAGGATTGAGAGCTCATTTACTATGTCCAAATGGTGATCATGAATATGATTACGGGTATTTATTGTTTTGGAATAGCCTGAATTTCATATTGTCTAGAGAAGATTCTCTGTTCAGAAATGTCATTTCTCTGGACTATGAAATCACAGTGTATTTGAAACCTATATCCTCCAGTGCTGCCCAAACAGGTTATCTGAGAAGACTTCAAAGATTACTGCAGTACAGTCCAGAGAATAAAAGTCTGTTTGATATAGCAGTACGCTATAACCACAAGTCAGGTGCCTATAGAAACATTCATTAACTTCTAGAAACAGGGAGGAAAAAATATTCCTCTTTTCAGGTTTTCTCTTACATTCTGTTGAACCAGGTACCCAGCTGTAACCATAGGAGAATTCAGTCTAGTTCAGTGTGACAATGTTACTTAAGTTTTTTTTTTTTTTTAAGTTAACATTTTACAGGGAAATAAAAAGCACTTGGCAAATTTGCCATCCCCTTTTTCATTACTGATTTTTCATTTTTAAATGGAGAGAGCTACATGTATACTTCCTTGATGAGTGCTATATTTTTACATGTTAAAAAACAAACAAACAAACAAAAACAAACAGCAAAATGAATAAATAAAAATAAAAGAAAAAAAGAAAAGGTTTGAGAGTTATTAAAATCATTCTCAGAAGCACAGGTAAATCTATGTCTGATGCAACCACTGGAATGGCTCCAGACTTTCTCGTTTTCCACATAATTATCTTTTAATGAAATATTATATCAAAAATAGAAATTAGTGAATGAAGGCAAATGGATTAACAACAGGAAGCTATTTTGGCTTGTCTGAGGAGAACCTTTATGATATTTATTGGACATACTGTTCTGTACTGAGCCAAATAACTGTGTAGGTGGGGCCTGATAAATGTACGAGGAAAAGTAAGTTTTTAAGATGTAATTGATGGGCTGAAAGCATATACTTAAGCAGCATTTGAAGCAAAGTTTTGTGAGCTTAGAGCAGCCTCTTGGAAAAGAAGATGGAGTGGAAACCTGGCTTTTTAGTGAAATGTTTCCTTCTCCCCACTGTACAAATGCAAAGTGGATTGTTGCCACTGAAATATAATATTGCATTGCTCTGCCTCCAAAATAAGAAAAAGAAAACATTATTATGAATACTTTTGCAAATATATTTTTTCTCTTTCTACTTGACAGAACAGTCCAGGGTGGAAGGAACATCAGGAGGCCTCTTGTCAGGCCACCTGGTCAAAGCAGGTTCAACACTGAATTCAGATCAGCCTGCTTAAGACTTTTCCAGTCAGGTTGTGAAAATCTCTATGGACAGAGATTTTTCCCTACCTGACAACCTGTTTTATGCTTCATTATATGCTCTAGCTAGTCATGTAATAATATTTTACTACTGAAG